AGCGTCCCGTACCAGCTTTTGTCCTTTTGTTAGCGTCCCGTACCAATTTTTGTCCTTTTGTTAAGCGTCCCGTACCATCTTATGTCCTTTTGTTAGCATCCCGTACTTTTTGTCCTTTTGTAAGCGTCCCGTACCAAGCGTCCCGTACCAACTTTTGTCCTTTTGTTAGCGTCCCGTACCAACTTTTGTCCTTTTGTTAGCGTCCCGTACCAACTTTTGTCACTTATACTTTGAGCCCCGGGGGTTAGGTTTGATTTTTCGAGGGGGGTCATGGGCTTTCGAATCCGTCCCTATTGAAACAATATTTGACGTTGTTCAAGTTATTTTTCCTTGTAGGAATAGTGTTCTGGACAAAATTCCAAAAATATAGCTTAAACTTTTTGTCCACATTTTTTAAGGGGGTTACAACAGAAACCTATGGTTTAGAGTGGTAGCCGTAACCCCCCTGGAGGTTCACACCAAAACGCCCTCTAACCCCCAGCAAGAAAAAATGTTGGCCCCACATGCTGACCAAAATTAGCAAAAGTTAGGGTAAGTCCAATGACTCGTCTATTTCTGCACGGATTTAATCCAAATTTGGCACAAATATGTAAAATTGGCCTTTGTATACCTCCTTGTTTTATTTCTGAAATATCAATGAAATTTTTCAAAAAAATTGAGATTTTCTAAATTTTGGGATTAAGTTACAAACAGAAATCGCCCTAACCACGGGGTCTGTATTTTCCTTATCTCAGGTGATATCAATTTTATCGTGATATCAGCAGGTAGATATCAGCGAGATCAACAATGGTAGCACAGTTAATGGATTCAATAACGCCGATTTTGAAAAAGAACTGTGGAGGTTTTGGGGTTGGACGTTTGTAACTTAATAAGATTAATCATAGAGAGGAAATGTTCCATCCCTGGTTTTATGTAAAGATCAAGTTTGAAAGAAAAAATATGCATGGTTAGGGTTAGGGTTAGAGTCAGGGTTAGGGTTAGAGCAGGGTCAGGGTTAGGGTTAGGGTTAGGGTTAAGATTAGTGCAAGGGTTAGTGTTAGTGTTAGTAGGGGTTAGGGTTAGGGTTAAAGCATAGGGTATAGGGATAAAAAGGAAAATGCCCATGGATTTAAGTGCCCAAGTAGGTCAATGAGAATTAAGAGATTAGGGTTAGGGTTAGGGTTTAGAGTAGGAGTAGGGCTAAAAATGAAGATGGCCAATCTAGGTCATGGCCAATGTAGGTCAATTGAAAGTGAAAGTGAAAGTCTTGGAGAGAAAGTGAAAGTCACTGATAGTAGCAATAGTAAAGGAAAAAGTAGAATTTTCCGAAGCTCATAACTTTCTTATTTATCATCGGATCAAGACGAGTTTGGTGTCGTTGGAAAGCTAAGAAACCGAACAACACGATCAACTCAGTGTCATAAAACATAGGTGTCAGGAAAAGGGAGAAAAATGGCTTCTTCTTTACACTGCACAATTTCAGATTTTTTGACCATTTTCAACCCCCCAGATCTCGCGAACGGTATGCAATTGACCCATCAATATTATGTCAGTGAGACACACTAAAAAGGACTCTTGGTAGCTGCAAAGAGTTGGCAAAACTGCTTTCTCTCTCTAAAGATATGAAGGACTAAACATGCGGAAAATGTACACAAGTCTTAGAAAGTTTGAAACAGGGATTGAACAAGTTAAAGTGGTCAGCTCTCGTCAACTTGCACGTTGCCGTGGAAGTTTCAGTAGGAGCTGCTCATGTGCACCCCAAAACGGTTATGCTCGGAGACTGGGTAAAATTGCGTTCCGCGCTAAGTTCTTTTTGCGGGCGATAGAGCTTAAACAGTGCGAGATAGAGTCCCTAAACTCTTACATTAAAGATGAAGAAGACCTCAAGGAAACCACACACCGAAGCCCAGCCTGCTAGTCCCAAGGGCGTGCAACCTATGGGCATTTTAAGAAAAAGTGTCGTAATTCCGGTGGGACAGGAAGGCGACGTCCTCAGTAGTCGAAAAATTGGGACGAAAGGGAACTCTTCTTCTCATTAAGGGTTTTGTAAGGGCCTAAATACCCTGACCTGAACCTCTCTCGCTGAAATGCCCCAAAACTGCTCCAAATGGGTGGCAAAAAGACGTCAAATTGAAAGGTACGTAAATATCTTAGTTTTCAAGCAATTTTCAACGTCTTGGGGTCATTAGAAAGCTCTTGAAAAGTTCTGTCTACAATCCGAAGATGGTTGTTAAAGATCGAAAACGGGGAAAGTTGCGAGGGTTGAAAGATGTCTGCATAAGCCGGGTGCGTACACCTAGGCAATATTTGCTCTAAAAAGCCCCAGAAAATGGCTTGAGTTTTCTACACTTTACGGCATTCGAAAGACCTTGTCAAGAGCTTTCTGACAAGCCAGAGAACCTGAAAATCCGTCTGGAAATAAAGATTTTTTGCCGTCTGCAAGCTTTTTGAAAATATCGCTTGTTATTCGACTTTCTGCTCTCTTGAACGACAACTTCATGTCGCCAGCGTATAGCACTCTTCAAGACCTTTCCATCGACACAAAGAACGTTAACATCGGAACTGTTAGTCAAAAGGCAAGGTTAGGGTTAGAGGTTAGCGTGCTTACCATCTGTAGTAACTTATAGTACCACTTTATTAGCATTTTGTAATTCATAGCTGGCATTTTTGTCATTTTTGGCATACCACCTAATTGGCATTCTCTAACTTATAGCTGGCATCTTTGGCATTTTGTAACTTATAGTACCATTTTATTAGCATTTTGTAATTCATAGCTGGCATTTTTGTCATTTTGTTTGTCATTTTTGGCATACCACCTAATTGGCATTCTGTAACTTATTGCTGGCATCTTTGGCATTTCGTAACTTATAGTACCACTTTATTGGCATTTTGTAATTCATAGTTAGCGTCCCTACCATCTGTAGTAACTTCTAGTACCACCTTATTGGCATTTTGTAATTCATAGCTCGCATTTTTGGCATTTTGTTAAGTTATAGCTGGCATTTTTGGCATACCACCCAAATTAGCGTCCCGTACCAACTTTTGTCCTTTTGTTAGCGTCCCGTACCAACTTTTGTCCTTTTCTTAGCGTCCCGTACCAACTTCTGTCCTTTTGTTATCGTCCCATACCAACTTTTGTCCTTTTGTTAGCGTCCCGTACCAACTTTTGTCCTTTTGTTAGCGTCCTGTACCAACTTTTGTCCTTTTGTTAGCGTCCCGTATCAACTTTTTTCCTTTTGTTAGCGTCAGGGTTATGGTTAGCGTTCATGTTAGGGGTTAGGGTTAGGGTTAGGTTTAGGGTTAGGGTTAGGGTTAGGGGTTAGGGGTTAGGGGTTAGGGTTAGGGTTAGGGTTAGGGTTAGGGTTAGGGTTTAGGGTTTAGGGTTTAGGGTTTAGGGTTAGGGTTAGGGTTAGGGGTTAGGGTTAGGGTTAGGGTATAGGGATATGTGCGAAGATGCCCATGGATTAAAGTGCCCAATTAGGTCAACTGCGATTAAAGGATTAGTGAAAATGAAAGTGGAAAGTGAAAGTCACGGATAAAAGCAGTAGTAAAGGACAAAGTGGAATTTTCAAAAGCTCATAACTTTCTTATTTATTATCGGATCAAGACTAGTTTGGTGTCGTTGGAAAGGTAAGAAAACGGACAACATGACTAAATCAGACACTTGAAACCTAAGTGACAGGAAAAGGGAGAAAAATAGCTTCTTATCTACACCGAAGAAATTAACAAATGGAGAATTCTTGACCGTTTTCAACCTTCAGTATCTGTAGAATAGCATGCAATGGACACACTGCTCTTGTGTCAGTGATACATTCCGACAGGGACTCGTGGAAGCTGCAAAGAGTTTGCAGAAATACCTTTTCTTTCTAAAGATATTAATGACTAAACATGCGGAAAATGTACAAAAGTCTTAGAAAATTTGAAACAGGGATTGGATAAGTTAAAGTGGTCAGATCTCGACAACCTGCACGTTGCCGAGGAGGTCTAAGCTCTTTACACAATTATTTACCAAATATGTTTATGTTTTTAATCCCTAAATTAAAATCATTTGAGTATTTAAAAGTTATGAATAAATATTTAGTATTGTTTTAGGGTAGAAAATATTGATATTTCCTAGAATTAAATCTGATATATGACTTCAATGTTTATTTTACACTTTCTAACCTTAGAGTTAGAACAAAATTATTGAAATTTATAGATTTTCATCGTTTAATGCTCTGGTACACGTTTTATTGATATGGTTTACCCTTATAATGAAATTGCAAACTGGAAACTTTATATTGTATGGTTAACTTAGATGAAGAAAAAACAACGCTGATTTTACTTTAATCACCTGTATTTTTAAGAAATTCAAGTAAAAAAGTATATTCATAACCATGGGGTTTGAAAGTGTCAAATGTAACATAAATATTTTAAAACTTTTTGCACTGTAATAATTGCATTAGAGTAGATTATGTGTCGAATTAACCAAATTTAGCATAATTGTACTTGTTCGCAATACTCAGTAAGTCAAAAAATTATGTCGTGACTTAACAAGAGATACTTAAGTGATTTCGAGATGTCGCGACTCCTAATTTGTCCTTATTTTTGTCGATTACACATTAACCTTAAATTTGTTGGTTAGGGTTAGGGTTAGGGTTAGGGTATAGGGGGTTTTACGAAGATCGCTCCGGAGTCATCTCGTCAATGTCACTTTCTGTCACGTGATTTCAGTAGGTGTGGTTATTGTTTTTTTAATTTAGATACTTTGTGTAGCGAAACTATTAAAGTTTATTTTGTTATTTCCATCATACACTTTGGCTCAGTAGGTAGAACAGCGGACTTCAGATTAAGGGGTGCCGAGTTCGATTCCCGATGGAAACGTTCATTTTATAGCTCTTTTACTTTTTTTTAAAGATGAAAGTCTCTGATTAATTACAGATTTATTCGAGTCAAATATTAGTATATATTGAGATTTTATACCCTTTTGTCCAAAGCTTGCTTCGAAATCATTTGTTTGGATATATAGAGAGATTATTGAAATCACAAGGAAGGAAGTGTTACAATAAAAAAAATAATAATTTCATTTCGTATAACAAGAATACTTCTCTTCCGCTATCTAACCCCTCTTTTCTATCATGGAGTTTGGTACAACTCTTACTCTAAAGAATGTTTATTAGCATATTGATGCAGCTTTGACTCTTTGTTAGGGGTAGGGTAATGGGGCTTTTATTGTAACTCAGTTGCATCTTGTCAATGCCCCAAAAAATCACGTGATAATTGTAGGTCCACTTTTACTGATAGATGTTTTACCATAGAGAGTTTTAAAACCTTTACGTCAGTTTTATTTTTATTATCACGTGCATACTTGTAGGTTTGAGCCGCCATTTTACTAAACGAGACAGTAGGAAGATGTCAAAGAAAGTCGAAGACCCCGGTAAGTGGAATAGAGGAAAAGGAATCTTTTTTTAATGCTGGAGATTAAAATATTTTCTTAGAATGAGAACAAACTTCAATATGTGGTTGAAAAATGACCGATTTGATAAGAAATAAAGTAGTTTTAACGATTATCAAAATTAGAGATATAAATAAGAGAAAATGACTTAAGTTGAAGATATAAGTAATACCGTATTGAAAAGGTCACAGTGAAGACCCTGATCCGAAGTGTAAAAATTGCGTAATGAAACATGCAAATAAATAAATATCTTCTCTTGACCCGATAATATGAATCATGAAATATTGACTTTGTCCCTGAAGGGAATTTATTGGAATAGACAATTCTCTTGAAAACGTCTGTACGTCAACTGTATTAAACTGAAAATTAATTCACAAAGTATATATATTCCGTGGTAAATTTGTTTTCTTTTAAATCTCAAGTCATACTTTGTATGTGATCTTAGTACCAAACTTAAATCTTTACATAAACCATTATATCAAATGAACCCTAACCCTAACCTTAACCTTAATCTTAACCTCAATCCTAACCTTAATATATTTACCCCTTAAATCTCACTGAAAGAACAGAATAATGTAAGCACATACTGATTACTTCATGAGATTTTCATACAATGATGATCCAAAACAAATAATTTCTTCGCTTAGAAACATAAGTAAGTAATAATTATGAGGAAGATTTCAAGTTAAACTATATTTTATTAATAGATGAATCTCGACTCTCTAAACCTGGAAAAGAGGAGATGAAAGGAAAGCAAGAAAAGAAGATAGAAGGTAGATCAAAACTTATCAACAATTAGTTATCATACTTTATGAATTCTGTTTAATTTCATTCAAAAAACAAGAAGCAATGTGGTAGTTGGTAGGATGATAAAACTCCAATTAGAGTTTTTGATTTGGTTTCGGTTTAAACTTTATTCAAGGAAATTAATGTAAAGAATATCGTTTGTACTATATTCATGGTGAAAATATAATTAACTGATTCTCATGCTTGATAAATGATTTCTTCAAAAGAACAAATGAAATTTTCAGATCCTGTCTCATCCACAAGTGGAATGGAGCAAGAAAAAGAAGAGGACTTGAAAGGAAAGCAAGAAAGAAGATTGAAGGTAGACCAAAGCTTATCAACAATTAGTTATCAAACTATATGAATTCTTTTTATTTCATTAAAAAGACAACAACCAATGTTGTAGGTGGTAGGATGATAAAACTCCAAATTAGAGGTTAAGTTTTGGGTTCAGTTAAAACTAGATGCAATGAAACTAATATAAATTAAAATTATTGAACTTTATTCATGGTGAAAATATAACTGACTGTTTCCCATGCTTGATGAATGGTTTCTTCCAAAGAACAATTGAAATTTTCAGATCCTGTCTCGAGCACAAGTGGAATGGAACAAGGAAAAGAAGAGAACTTGGAATTAAAGCAAGACAGAAAGAATGAAGGTAGACCAAAAATATAAGTTTAATTTCAACAAGCAGTGTTGTAGTTGGTAGGATAAAAAAAAACTTCAAATAAGAGAATTAGGTTTGGTTTTGGAATCAGTTTATCAGCTCACCTGAACTGAAATCTTAAGTAAGCTTTTCTGATCACATCTTGTCCGGCATCCGTCTGTCCGTCTGTCAGTCTGTATGTCCCTCTTTCTGTCCGTTAGTCTGTAAACTTTTCACATTTTCATCGTCTTCTCAAGAACTTCTGGGCCAACTTCAACAAAACTTGCCACAAAGTATGTTTTAGTTAAGGGGATTCAAATTTGTTCAAATGAAGGGCTATGCCCCCTTCAAAGGGGACATAATTATGAATTAGTAAAACTCAAAAGCCATGTTTGTTCATATTTATATGGAATCATCATCAGGTAGTGTATCTTCAAGTTTATAGAAATCATTACCCCCAGGGGTAGGGCGGGGCCACAATGACTGACCATTGTTTTAAAAAGAAATATATAGGACAATTCGTTAAATAACTTCCCAAGAATAAAAAAGCCATGATTGGTCATATTTATTTGGAAGCATCCTCTGTTAGTGTAGATTCAAGTTCAAATCATGACACGACACCCGGGGCTTGGCAGCGTCAACAATGACCGAGCAAAGTTTCACATTGAAATATGTAGGAAAAATGTATTAAAAACTAAAGAATAGCAGAGCCATGATTGATCATATTTATAGGGAAGCATTCTCAGTTAGTGTAGATTCAAGTTTGTTTCAACCACCACCCCCGGTGGTTGGGCAGGGCCACACTGGCTGACCAAAGTTTAACATAGAAATATATAATAAAATTCTTTAAATATTTTGTCGAGAATAGCAAAGATGTAATTGGTCATACATATATTTATATGGAAGCATTCTCAGGAAGTTTAGACTCAGGTTTGTGCAAATCATACCTTCTCCCCTTTAAGGAATGGTTGGGACTATTTTGGGTTTAAACTTTTCAATAATTAACTAATTTTTGCTTCTATGCTAGCCACAGTGCTGATGTGAGCAATGTGGCCCATGAGCCTCTTGTATTAGATGCAATGATATTAATTTAAAAAAAAAATTGAACTATATTCATAGTGAAAATGTTATTGACTGATTTCCATGCTTGATGAATGGTTTCTTAGTGGAATGTAAAAAAGTTTTTAAGCTGTTTTTATTTATCTTAGTATCTCCTTTAAACAGAAACGATAAAAAGAGAATTAGGACTCTTAGGTATAATTTTTAAAATGTTTTACAGATACGCCAGTGAGACAGAATATATGTATCGAGAATGATGAAATCCCTTCAAGTCAACGATGAAAACACCGATATCGTATGTTCAACGAAACGAAGAAGTTATGAAAACAAAAACATAGCTTCATCAGGAAAAATGGGTTTCAATTAAAATGAGGCTGATTGCTTGTTTTAACATGACGGTTTTTGGACATTTTTTGTAAATAAAGTTAAATATTGTCTTAAACATGATGCTTTGATTGAACATTAAAGAAACTGTTTTATTAATTTTGTTAGAAATTTCATTTGGAATATAGAAAAAAACTGGAGGTTGATGTTTGTTTGTGAAGACAAAAATTCCATACTTTGAAGAAATAAGTTTGAGCAATCAGTGTATTTAGTTAAGGAATGATTTGTTATTGAACTTGATCAGTTTTTCAAAACCTAAATGAAGAGAAATTATGTTGAAATCTAGCAAGATGTTTCTAGATAAATACTATGAAAGCTGATGGTCTAGTTATCAGAATAGGGTGGATTTTTTCCCTCAAAGAAACTTTATTAAAAACTTCCTGAACAATGTAAAATATGTGAGTGATTGATTGAATTTTTCGAAAATTGTTCAATCATATGGAGATGTCACCATTTGCTGGTAGAGAGCAGAATATTCTGTACTATACTCGACACTCAGGACTACTGAGCAGGGAGGGATCTTTTTCGTGCCAGCACCTACTGCGACACGGGACTTCGGTTTATACGGTCTCACCAGAGGAACCGGTGTACATGTCCCACAGTTGGATTCGTTATCCTTTATCTATCTCTTAACCATAAACTAAAATTTAACCATAACTTAAACCTAAATCACAACCTTAATTTATCATCAATTTAACTCAAACATATTTTTACTCTTTAACCCATCCTTAACTCTAATCTGAATCTCAATCTTAACCATAACCTTAAATTCAATCTTAAACCTAACCTGAATCTGAAACCTAATCTTTACCTTGATAGTAAACCTTAGCTTAATTCTTATGTTAACCCTACCTTTAATTGTAAACATAACCTTAACTATAATCTTAAACCTTACCTTAACTTTAAACTAAACCCGAACTTTATTTCCAAAATAAACCATGACGTTTAACCCTGAAGTAGACCTTCACCCTAACTTTTGCAATAAACTTTACTTTCCTTTTTTTAAAACCTTAATTTTAATTTTAATCTTAACCTAACACTAACCCTTAATCTAACCTATGAACTCAATCTTATGACAATCGTTTTTTGTAAATTAGAGGTTACCAAATACCGCCGAATTATCTGCCCCTAAAATTTATTTAAATCATCTGTCCATACTTTCCGAGCAAAACATTTTTTGTCTTTTACACAAACGATAGTCTATCCATTGGTCTTACAAATTCAACTACTAGATTACTTTTCAAAAATGAAGATTTGTTTGATAGTTACCATATCAAGATTTCACTCTGAAACAAGAAATAAAATTTAATCTAAATCTTCAACCCCTCATTAACTTTTAAACCTTCCTTTGATATCAATCTTTAACCCTAACCTTACCCTTTATCTTCAAACCTAACCTTAACCCGGTATCTTAAACTTAACCTGGTATCTTAAACTTAACCTTGTGTCTTAAACTTAACCGGGGATCTTAAACCTAACCTGGTATCTTAAACCTAACCTGGTATCTTAAACCTAAACTGGTATCTTAAACTTAACCTGGTATCTTGAACCTAACCTGGTAACTTAAACCTAACCTGTTATCTTAAACCTAACCTGGTATCTTAAACCTAACCTTGTATCTTAAACCTTACCTTAATCTTAAACTGGTTTCTTAAACCTAACCTGGTATCTTAAACCTAACCTGGTATCGAAAACTTAACCTGGTATCTTAAACCTAACCTGGTAACTTCAACTTAACCTGGTATCTTAAACCTAACCTCGTATCTTAAACCTAACCTGGTATCTTAAACCTAACCTGGTATCTAAAACTTAACCTGGTATCTTAAACCTAATCTGGTATCTTAAACCTAACCTGGTATCTTAAACTAATCTGGTATCTTTAAGTAAGATATAAAATATTGTTTTCCGGTTTTTGTTAACAAGAAAAGGTAATACTTTGGATATTGATCATTTTACTACATCTTATTTTTCTTAAACTTGTTGAAAACATTATGTCTAGAAATATCAAATTATTGAAACGTACTTTTTTCATTGGGTTCATAATTCTTCGAAATGTCTAATGTCTAATTATGTTTCATGCGCAGATCTTGAGGGGGTGCGGTGGTGGGTCAACCCCCCCCCCCCCCCGTCCCTTGAATTTTCAGAGATATTTAATTAATAAAAAAAAAGCAAGTAAAAAGTGACCTTTAGACCGCCCCGACTAAAAACGGAGACTACTTTTGTGACGCAGACTCAATTTAATTTTGTACGAGAAGTAATAGATATTAAAGCATTAGAATTCATTACTTGTCAGCAAATATCTGTCAACCCCCCCCCCCCGTCTACCTATGATTTTTACGTTTGTGCGTGTGCGTGTGTGTGGTTGTTTTTTTCCGCTTATCAACAAATTTCTCTCAATCACTCCACCCCCTTCCAGCTATGAAATAGTAGTTTCACGTTTGGCAACTTTTATTTTGCTTGCCAGGAAATTGAAGAGTTAAATGGATTTTTTTTTACTGTGCCCCCCCCCCTTCTTGGAAATAAATCCTTGATCCAATCCATGGTAGAAAATTACGCTGGTATCTGAATACTCTCATTATATTGCATTATTTTTGCACTAAGTTTGTTGTACAAATTTCCGCGAAAAAAATTGACTGCATACATAGTGTAAATTAATAACACGCGGTTAAAACATATCCACCTTAAATAAATGGTTTGGTTTAAAATAACTTAAATTTGATTAAAATAAGAGAAAGAAAAGAAATATATTTAACCATACAATGATGATCCAAAACAAATAATTACTTAGCTTAGAAACATAAGTAAGTAATAATTATGAGGAAGATTTCAATTTAAACTATATTTAATTAATAGATGAATCTCGAATCCTAAACCTGGAAAAGAGGAAATACGATATCCCATGTTTATTCCTTTTAAGATTTTAAGAACTGATGCTGAACAAATGGCTTTCAGGGGAATATATATTACATTTTACCCCTCTAAATAATGTAATAAGATCATTTGTAACAGTTATAGCATATTTTATTTTCATTCTTGGTCCTTTTTGTTTAATATAGTTGGAACGTTATCGCTGAAGGTTACAAAATAACTCTTCTGTATTTGGAGCTCTTTTGTGTTTGGAACTCTTTTGTGTTTGGAACTCTTTTGTGTTAGGAACTCTTCTGCGCGTCTAAAACAGAGAAGATTTCCAATACACACCAGCTGCGGGGTTAGCGTCGTCATATA